TCAGACCTGGGCACTGCCAGTCCATCTGGACCCAGAACAGGAGCTTCAGCAGAGCCTGGCACTGCAGGAGCAGTACTCTCAGACCTGGGCTCCTGCAGGAGCAGTACTGTCAGTACTGGGCATTGCCAGCCCATCTGGACTCAGAACACAGGCTGGAGCAGAGCCTGGCACTGCTGGTGCAGTACTGTCACACCTGGGCACTGCCAGTCCATCCGGACCCAGAACACAGGCTGCAGCAGAGCTTTGCACTGCTGTCCGAGCAGTGATGGCACTGTGGGGACTGAAGGAGACGGCACTCAGGGCTTTCTGCTTCATTAGAAGCACTACAACATCAACCCGCCCCACCCCCATTAACATCTGCCGACGAATATCTGAAAGTGTGATCCAACCCATTCCTCTATATAGCATTCCTCTATATAGTGGGGTTACAGGGCCCTACACAGACGACGCACACTAGCCGAGTATCGGAGCAGGGTGAGAGACAGCAAAGAGAAACAGACCCTGACGAAGTACAGCCTGCCTGTCCAGGATAAAAACAGAAAGCTGTCCGAATCTGAAGGACATTGAACTGGAGAGAGGCAGGGAGGGAGACAGGGGCAGGGAGAGAAGGCGAGAGGGGGCAGACAGAGAGAAACAAGCAAACGAGCCAGAGAAGAGAACACACAAAGACAGAGACCCGGTGACCCTGTGTGAACTGTAAAGAAGTGCAGCGTGTTACACTAATAATCTTGCAAAAGGTCTCTTGGGAATAAAATGATTATAGCCCACCTGGCCGTACACCTGTGCGCAAGAGACAGAATTCAATTAACCGCATTTAACTACTTTTTATATACCTTATGTAAGAAGTGTCACCTGCATCGTAATGCATTTTTAACGTAACTATATACAGTAAATGAATAGTGCAAGAGTTTGAATAGGAGGCTGCAGTGCACAGTGCGAGTATATGACATAGAAAATTGAGTTCTTCTGTTGCACGTAACGCAGCCTGAAGCATAAATGCTCCCTTTCATTCTTATGAAGAGTGTAAGTTGCAGGGTCCACCGCAGACTGTGCGCGCTCGCAGCGTATAGTCTGTTATCTGTGTTACGCAGACGATCACACAGCTCGAGCGCGGTTAAGCGAGCCAGTACGTCATCGCCGTGTGGTTACAGCTGGCCCGCGCGCGGCACCTGCGCAGCGAGCTCGAGGCTCCGCATCCTGTTGTTCAACAAACCGCTTCCCGTCTCCAGCAAAAACACCGCGCCTCTTCGGTGGGGGCGAACACAAAAACAGCTCAAACAGAAAGCAACTTGCTAAAAGAAGCTTGAAAACATCTACTGACGCAGCTGTCGACACCTGACCCACATTGCGAGCGAGGAGACCTAACGGCTCGTGTATCTGAAAATAGAGCAGTACTTTGGTGACCTGAATACGCTAAAGATATTAACAAGTCAGAAGACGCTGGGACACTTCAACAGATCTGTCAGTTTAACAGTACAGCGCTACTGGTCCTGCTGCTACTACAACCACACTGCAATTACTACCATTACAGTTACTACCGCCACTACTGCTAGTCTTGCTACCACTAATACCGCTAAACGTCCTACTGCTACTACTACAATTGCGAGCACTAATACTACAATTACAACTACCAGTTACTACCAATCTACCAATAAATCTATGAATTGGCTGCATTACTCTGCTCTCCTCCCCACTGATTGCTGATGTGTGGTGAGCGTTCTGGCGCACTATGGCTGCTGTCGCATCATCCAGGTGGATGCTGCACATTGGTGGTGGTGGAGGGGAGTCCCCATTACCTGTAAAGCGCTTTGAGTGGAGTGTCCAGAAAAGCACTATATAAGTGTAAGCAATTATTATTATTATTATTATTATTATTATTATTATTATTATTATTATTATTATTATTACCACTACTACTATGACTACAATTGCTAGCACTAATACTACAATGACCCCTGAGTTCCACTGCTACAATGACCACCTCTAACACTACAGCTACAATACAGCAGCCGAAGCGTGGGAGCAGGCAGAACTGTGGTTGTTTGAGATGTGAAGACTTGGTCGAGCCCCCTTGGCTGAGGGCCAAGCTCCCGGCCCCTGGACGGGGAGGATAGGGCCCCCATGTGACCGAGGAGGGGGGAGACGCGACGCGGAACACGAGCGAGGGAGACGAGAGGGTGACGTGTGGTATACATGCAGACTGAGCGCTGAACGCGAGTTGCAGCAGCTGAGTTTAATTAGTCCGGCTGTCTTCATCCCTCCCGAGCTTCCGTTAAAAACTCCATTACCACTGATACTACAATTAGTACAGCTGCTATAATTTCTTGTAATTTCGAGAAGAGTAGGGGTGTTACCCCGGTGTCCTGGGCTAATTTTCCCCTGGCCTTTACCCATCATGGCCTCCTAATAATCCCCCTCTCTGAAGTGGCTTCATCACTCTGCTCTCCTCCCCACTGAGAGCTGGTGTGTGTGAGCAGACTGGAGCATCATCCAGGTGGGGCTGGACGTTGTGTTTCTGTTTTCAATACTGTACCACTATAATTACCGGCACTGATACTACCACCACTGCGTTCTGAATAGAAGAACTCGACAGCGGTCGATCTACATTTCATCTAAACTCGAGCAGCGCTGTTTGGGTTCAGCAATGATCCGGGATAATGAAGTGCTTAGCGGTCACCAGTGGCTCCGAGGTGAGGCTGGTTAAATGCTGCAAAGAGCATGAGTGCTGATTCATACTCTTTCAACAACAAACATATTTATCCCAAGGACAAACTTGTTACCCATTGGGAGAAGAAGTAAAAATATTAATATTTAACATGTCCGGTTCCACGAGGTAGGCACGGGATTCGCGGGAGTTCCGCGTCACTTCTGTTACCAGGGTAACCGTCCCGCTCGCTGACAAGGGACTTCGTCTCTCGCGGCACTTACCTGTCACCCCGAGAAGCTTAATGTCTATAAGCTTATTACATGTAAACAAATATTCCAGGAAAGTATATTAAGCAAAAATTGGATAGGAGCGCAATGTGATTCGGCTAAAAAAACAGTAAAAACGAGCAGGGCTTTTTCACCAGGAAGAGACTCGACCAGGTCTTACACTTTCAATCAGGTTTTGTTCCGGAATTGTCCTACATCTGCGGAAGCAAATTGTTATATTGTCTGTAGCTCAAGATTTAAATATTGTCCGTAGCTCAACATGAAGCGTGTGGACGGTTACAAACGAGAGGCCATTTGGTTTTCAGTTGCTAATTGAATCAAGGATCTCATCTAGCTGTTCCCTGAAAGAAACCAGGGTATCGGCCTCAACAATATGGCTGAGCAGCTTGGTCCACACTCCCACCACCCTTTGTGTAAAGACATGACTCCTGTTCTCAGTTTTAAGTGCTCTTCCAAGTAGTGTTTTCAAACATAAGGGCCTTTTTACTGGGAGAGTCTAGTTTCTCTGCTTTCTTCTGATCTGAGGGATTTGAGATGCTGTAAACTCTTACACAATGAAATTTGCGATTTGCACTGAGATTAAAAACAACCCCAACCCCGTTTACATAAAAAATATGAAAATATGTGAAATGACATCCGCATACATTACTACCTAAAAACAGTGCTCCCAGCGGTGCAGCCTCTCCTTCCTCCAAAAGTGAGCTGGCACAGCTCGAGCGCTCCCTCTAGCGGCGGCTCCGAAACCCTGCAGCCACGCGCGATTCCACGAGACGAC